CACCGCCGGACCACTCCTCTGATCGCGGATTCAATTATCCGTGTAATTATTACGCTGCGGCTCCAGGGCGATAAATTAGTATCAGTGCCTATGAAATCGGTCGATAACGATCGACGCGATCGGTCGAGGAACGTAGCGCAAAAGAGTACTGAATAACGTTGCAAGGAAATTTAACGCGAACGAAAAATGTAACATTTCAATACCTTAGTATCTTTTATTGATATTTTGCAACAATGAGTTCACTGATCTCTCGGCGAGGCTCGTAAGTACGTGCAGACCGGAAAAATATCTATCGTTTCATTGTTTCGCGCAAACGACACGGGTGAAACATTCTCTCAGCAAAACGTACAGGGTGTTCGCGAAAACTTCTCCTTTATCATTGTCAATAACATCGTTATGGATGCAACTGTTTAACAAATTATATTTGTCACCCTTTGAGAAAATTGACTTTTTAATATATAAAAATAAAATTTAAGATAATCTCAGAGAACATCCCGAAGAATAATCGCAGCTGGACTTTCGTTCGCGAAGGGTCGATTTATGGATCCATCCCCGGAAGTACGGTTATTTCTGGGACACTCTGTATACGCGTGTACTTTCAGTTGATCGGCGTAACGAGGCTAGAATCCAGCCCGTGATTTCATAGCAGGTCAACGCATTCGGGGCCACGCAGGCAGAACGAGGAATTTCCTTAGCAACCGGGAATTCAGATTCGTGGTTACAGATGAGCCTAGCTATAATTAGGGAGATGGTATCGTGTGAGAAGGTACGCTACGCTGCCGGCATGCCTCGTGTTTGCCCGCGTGCTGTGTGGATGGTTTGTCTAACGACGCGAGGAGGCAATACCCTCCAACGAGCAAAATCGACGTTGTGGCGGAAACCTTGGCATTGAAACTGTTACCGCCTTCGACGCCCCACGCTTTTCCCATTCGATCGAGCGAATGGAAACTGATCGAGTGAGGTACAACCACGTTCATCAGAACGATATTTTCACCCATGCCCCAATCCTCCATTATCCAAACCCCTATCGAGTTCCAATTACGCAAACATCTTTGTTCGAAAAGTTACCCGTAAATACTAAAAAAAATTTTGATACGAACATTTACAATGTTACAAACGATAATAAAATTTTATAAACTAGCTGAATAGTTCGTTTTTGTGTTTACAAAATATACGCGTGATAATAGCGTTAATAAATGTAACAGATGCAATAGGACAGAAGGCAAACAAGGATAAGTATTATTAAAATAGGCGTCAGTAGACTCTAGGAATCTTAATAACAGCAAAAATCTGTAATTGTCGGATAAACTTGTAAAATAAAGGAAATTAGATAATAGAGCAAATTAGAATACGATAAATATAAAGAAAAGCAAGAAAAAAGTCGCTGGGTTATATCTTCGTTCGTTTGAAAATTGCTTGTAATGGGACACGATTCAATTTGTGTTTATATTGCACTGTTAGTCTAGACTAGTAAAATTAAGATAAGAGAAACGTGTTTTGATATGTTATTGGTTTGCTTATGCTGAATACAGTGGCGTGAAATAGATTTTCGTTACTATTATACAATAAGCTGCATAAAGTGTGTCTAACACGCTGGAACGAAATATGAAAAACGTCTCGGACCGCGGAGGGTTAATTCCTATTTATTCTAAATTCGTTAAAAACGTTCTTCGTCCGTTGCAAAACCAAGAAAGGTTGAGAGTTGCGATAAAAAGTGCTAGTGTTGCGGCGATGTAGTCGATAGAGATATTTCGTGTTTAGAAGGTACGGCGAAAGAGGCAATGTACCGGAGGAAATGACTGTTGAAAGAAAAAAGGCAGACAGGATTCTATTTTCACATCGTGCCCAGTCCCCATGGGAAGTGTCGTGGAACGGATGATGGCAACGCAAATAAGATTACTTCCTCCCTATCTGCGAAAAACATGGACTTGCGCTAATGAGCTTATTACAGAAGCTCTATCAGGAACTCACAGATCTCTTACGAAACTTCTTATAAAGCTTTTTATCGAGTGGCCTCGGCCAAACGCGATCCGACATAGTTGTTTCTGAAAAACAGTCCGCCTTCGCGAACGCGCGATAAATTTGCATAAATATCGACGCGTAATGAAACTTAAATTCGTATAATAAACACACCCGCGCTGGGAAAAGGGCTCGATAAAAGGAAACGCGGGCAAACGTCAAACTTCCACGCTGTTATTCGCGCCAGGCAACATTAATCATGTTGGCGGCTAAACGGCACGATAATCCGACATCTATGAATCATCGAATAAAACGTTCTATCAGCATTTGCCAAGACTTCGCTCTGCTAGATTTAATCGCAGCCTCTTTAAGTCCAAACGGACCCCATTAGGGAGATGAATAATGCTTTCGTCCCACTCCCGCGACGGAACAGGTATTTCCAAACGGGATCGTTCGTTTCCCGTGACCAGCGAAAAATCTACGAACACCGGCACAACAGAATTAAGAGAAAAACTTCACGCAATGAAATTTCGAGCGGGGCGTCACGCGTCTCGTTAGCGCGCGAACAAAACCGTGACCATCGTTTCTGTTAACAATTCACGCTTTTAAGCACGCGACGTTCAAAACGCGCGCGGTTTGCACGCATCTTTCCTTCGAAAATGTGATAAATTCATATTTGTATTGCTTTTAGTATGTTTCATATATACTTCTATCCCCTCTTGCACCACGTATCTATGTAATGTTGCAGGTTAGGGATAGAAAATTGGCTCACACTTCTAATTTATTATTTCTCTGAGACCTAGAAGACCTGGTCCTTTCTACTTGTTTGCGATTATTTCAACGAACGCAGGCAAAAATTATTCCTCGTAATCGATCATTGTTTAATGCAATTGTTTCCCAAAAATGCATTGGTGCAGTTGTAAAGCGTAATTCCACTTTCCTGTTTGGATAGAATTCTTTTAAATCGTCTTGCAAGTTAGGAAATATTTTGTTTAACACTAGAACTACCGACAATTATAGTGTGTTTATTTGTACCAAAGAAATTGAAACTATATGCGAAGAAATATATAATGCAATGAAAATAAGTGTTTATATATTCTCTTATTAATTACGATAAATTTTCAAAAATTCGGTCGAGTAAATTTTTTAGAAGTTTTATTAGAAATTACGAATCATTTTGACTGGTTTGGTAGTTCTAGTGTAAATCGACGCGTCGAATTTAAAAAAAATTGATTTCTATTCGAACAGTAAGTTAGAATTGTCAAATATGTCGAACTTAAGTATTCAAACTTGAATATTATTATTATTTATTAACGGGAATAAAAATTAAAAATCCTAAATTTTTAGAATTTTTTTTAATATAGAATTGAATATATAAAAAATGAAATTTTTATAAAACGATTTATTTATTTAGTAATATTATTTGTAAATTCGATAAAATTTAAAAATAATTAATCGTTTGGAAATTAATCTCTCTAAAATAATAAAAATTAATATAATAAAATAACATTTTGATTATTTGTTAATTTATCCTTTTGGTACAAAAGGAACTACAAATATGGAACTGGTTTGGGTTAGGTCTGGATTTGGTCTGGGTTAGATTTGGGTTAGGTCTGAGGTAGATCTGAGTTAGATTTGGGTTAGGTCTGAGTTAGATCTGGGTTAGATTTGGGTTAGGTCTGGGTTAGGTCTGGATTACTGAGAAAAATTCAGTCGAGTAAATTGTTTACAAGTTTTATTAGAACTAGTATTAATACGTATTACGAAGCTACGCGAGTTATTACTTCAACAAACGCAGACAACAATAATAGAAGAAAATTGTTCCCCGTAATCGATCATCGTGTAATACAATTGTTTCCCAAAAACGCATTAGCGCAATTCTAAAACGCAACTCCACTTTTCTGCTTGAACATAATTTACCAATTCTTTTAAGTCGTCCAGTTAGAAAAATTTTCAAAATTTCAACGTTTTCCTTTGATCGCGGATTCTTGAAATAGCAAAGGATCGTTTCGAGCGTCGTTCGCGTCGGTTCCCTTGTTAGTCGTTACAACGTAGCGGAGTGGCGCGTTACAATACGTATAAGCGAGCGTGAATTTTTTCAATTAGCCATTCTAGTCCCCGGAGTTCGCTTCGTTTACACCGGCAGTTGTAAATGACTGTTGCCGCGGACAAGGCAGGTGCATGTACCTTCGCACGCTTTAATATATTTACTGTACTATACGCGAGTTTCTCCTGCATCGGTTATTCCGCTCTCGCACGCCCACGCCGCGGATGTAACTAATCGCATTCCGCGATTAGAAAATCCGGGCGTGCCCTCGACATCGCGATGCACATGTTCCGATAAAGTCTAGTATTTCGCGGCCGTGTACGTTCGGCTCGACGGAGGATGTGCAACACGGCTGATGCCTTTTAAAAACGGGGTCGTCGTTTTATTTTCACGGTCTGATGTTACGCGCGACGGCGTGCAAACATTACCGTGTTAAGCGGTAAAGAACGATGCTCGAAAATCTCCGTACCGAAAGACAAACTTTTACGTAATCTGTAATCTGTAACCTATACGTCCTAAACGATAGAGTAATAATATTTAAGCCGTCTATCAACCGTAATTCAAATTAAAACGATACACTTACGAAAGTAAACAGTGCGTGTAAAATCGAACGATGCACAAATTGAATGTAATCTAACTCGTTTTCACGCATCGATGCATCTAAAAAAATGCAACTCCATACTTTGAATTTAAAAACTCCGAATAAATCAGCCGGTAATGTAAGACGCGAATAAAATAAATTTTCGTTTTATTACGCTCATTTCCATAGCTATGAATTTCATTATGATCTTAGACGATAGTACTCTTCTAACTCCTTTGCAACGTCTCTTATTAGAGGATAATACCGACTCCCACGGGAAATACGTGACACGGAATTACCATGTATAACGGAACGAGATGGAAACGGTTATATGAACAGCGTCCTGAATATGCATTGTCGTCATGAATTACTCCCTTCTATTAAACGGTTAATAATGTGGCTGGCTGTACTCACCTCAACGACGAAGTAAAGAGGATCACCAGGAAGGGCTTGAACGGCGAGGTAGCGGCTGGCGGACACCAGGGGTTGAAGGCAGGACCGCGCAGCCGTGACACCGCTACCACGCATGCTGCATGCTTCATTTCGTCGCCGCTACGCCCAGCGTCCTCACTGCCATAACAGAATCGGACAGAAATGATCAGAAATATGTCTTCGATCGAATAAAAAGTCTTTTTACGACTCGTAAACGCGTACTTAGTTTTTTTCAAAATTCGATCGTAGAAGAGCTTCCGCGAAACCTTCGACTGGAAGTGATTGATCACGTTAAAGCGAAAATAACAGAATTTTACATTGTTGATAAGGAATACAAATTAAATGTTACCCAGAAGCAAAGAATACCATTCTTCCCATCGATAAATACGTATTTTACGTGTTTCGCAATTTTCTCGACTCTAATTTGTCCTCGGTCGGATGATAGAAATTCGTTCCTGTTACACTCTTCGAGTCTACGTCGCGCGATTGCTAAATAGTGAAACTTTTGGCGCCACCGATGACCGAATTCTTCGCGTAACGCGTTGAAATAGAAGATTACAGAACTGGTCCGCGTATCGACTAGAGAATACGACGCGACGACGGGGATAACAATGTACGAAAGAGCTGATAGGAGTATGCTAATGGAAACGGTAACTGGTCGCACAAATCACAGTGGCATTTCCAGAGAATCCTGCCGCGGGAATGGGGGGACCCCGGCTACACGCTTTACGATACGTCAGCTGAATCCCCCCGTGGGTCTCGGTCCACGGTAAATCACAGAATCGCTCCCGGCATTACTCCATTTTCATCTCCGTGGAACAAGAGGCGGTCGCGTGGATGGAGAAACGGATGGTCTCGCGAGCGCCGGAGTCAGGGAACCGATCGTAAATCGACCGGACGATAAGTCCTCAAAAAATGCAACGCGAGGGCATCAGGCCCCTCGAAGAAATTTCGAACCCCCTTGTTACAATTCCTGGATAGATCATCACGACTGTTGCATCTCGATTCTAAATTATACAATGTGTGCCCCGTGATATGTGTTCGAAACGAGCTCCTTGCAATTGAACAGAGACCTGGAAACGTTTTATCATCGACTGTCTTACATTATTCACTTGTCCAGGAATTGTTCGGATTTCATGGAAGGTTTGTACAATTCTTTCGCGCAGCATTCCGACGTTTATTAATAGACGTTTTGTATACGAACACACAACTCTCGATCTTTACCAATACAGAGTGAAACTCGTATAGTTGGGCATTACTCGGATCGGACTCGAGGAAAATTTACGCGTCGACTAATTTCTACATTGCTTTATTAATAGAAACTCGTTATGAGGTCGAGTCTGTACCTCGGGGATGCGTGTAATTATATTTCGAGTCCTTGTGCTCGATAGGTTCTTCGAAAAGGTTAATCAACGGTAAAATCGTTCGAAGAATAAACATTGCGAATTAACAATGTTTTAACGAAATGATGGTTAAACAGTGAAGTAGATTACTATGAAACTCCATCGTTTCCCTGGACGTTATTCGCGAGTCTAAGTGCCGTGATTGCTTCTATGTATTACGTATAGAGATTTCCCCTGTTTAGATATAATTGAAAACTAATAATACGAGATGTATCGCTGAATCATCGTCGATTACTGGTGCGTTTACCCTAGTATGGTTCGCATCGAGAGACCGCCGTGTCAAAATTAACCGCCTAACATCTGGCAATGAAACAATACGGTCAATGCCGAGTAATGCTATTCCAATAGTCGCAATCGTTGAGCCACAGGAGGCGATCGAACACCGTGACGACAACGTTATTTACCACGTTGATGCCAGACAAGACAAGTATCGTATGTATAAAAAATTATTATATAAACGAAAATTAATTTTTCAAAGCGACGATAAAAAATCATTGTCGCAACGATTGTCTACGTCACATTCGTACAAACAAATTAAGTATAAACTTTCGACCGTCGTAAAAATATTCGATCGATCTACTAACTGAAAAACGGACTTCGAGCTGGGTTATTTCGGAATCGTCCCGCGATTGGACAAAGTCGCCACGGTAATCGACGAAATTGACTAATGGACGATACGGGGAGAGAGCAGGAAGGAAAAGAAACTATCTACCCGCGGAGGGATGATCGATGGGATCCATTACCGAGAGACGCGTGCAATCCGCCCACACCCCGAGGAGCTTCGCTCTGTCCCTTTTCCTCGATTCTTCCCTCCCCCAACCCCGTGCCCCTGTTCTTTTCCACGTACATACTCCGTAGCCAGAGTTGTCTATTTCTCTTTCTTGGCTGCCTCTCGGCTTGCAGCACGTTGATGCATTTACTCGCTTACCGGTATAACTGCCTCACCATTATAAAAGCCGGTCTCTCCTTTTTCCTCTCCCTCTTGCCGCCTCTCCCTTCCCCTCCCCGCCACACCCCCTTATACACTCACTCTCCTTTTTTCTCTTTTACCCTCCTACCCTCCTTCTCCGTTCGACTCGGTCTTTCTCTCTCGGACTCGATAGCCAATGCGTTTCGCAGCCGTTCAACCTGCGTCCCCGTGGCATTCTCCTCGCGATCACCGACCCCGTGCACCGACTTCGAAGGAAAATCACCGCGAACAGATTTTTACAAGCACGCTCCGGAACATTTTCCATACGAAAATCGAACCCGATTCGGAGCCATCCTCTTGCTCGACGACACCACACGATCGAAGCTTCGAGATTCGAGATAAACGGGAATCGACCGGGAGATTCACCCCGAGCTCGATCACGGCCATCGAATTATAACGATATCGACGGCATTTCGAACGATCGCCCGGTGACGATAACAACGAAACACGCGTTGGCGTATCATTAGCAACTTCTCGACCCACTCTGTCCTCGGCGTTTCTCGAGTTATCGGAATAATATAGATAGATAGGAGAACGCGTTTCAGGTGCCATCAGCAGTTTCGCTAGGAGCATACTTATCTTTTAATAATGGATACTGCGTATAATCCTTGCTATATTAATAGTTATTTTAATAAAATACAGGAAAACATAAATGGGATCTATTATAATCTGCCTACATTTCGTAGAAAGTTTCTTAACGTCGAAACGTCGATGCCTAGGGCTAACGATGATGCCAGCTGCACTGTTTGACGCGCTGAAAAATGATAAATCAAAGCGTTCTCGGCCACTGCACGGTTGTCCGTGGCTAAAGGGTTAAACCGCGAGAACCGAGTCGAATCGGAAAGCAGGAGATTCCGCGGATCGGCAGGGATGAAAGGACCGATCCGCGACGGGAGCGCCGGCGACTGGTTTTATCGTTCGACGAAGTGCGACGTGCATGCACGTAGGCGGCGGTATATAAACAATGTGAACTACATTCCAGCGGCATGAGTAACCATGTCTTGCGCACTCTCGCCACTCTTCTCGTCCTTTTCTCAAAGCCGATGCTGCCCGCGCGTACAAATCTAATTACCTAGCAACCTACCTACCGGCAGGGGGACACGGAGGGAGCCCGACCGAGGAAGGACGACGAACGGAGCCTCTTACCTCCGTCCATGTTTGTCGCCGGCTTAACGACGTCGGGGCTACGAGTTTGATACGCGGCGACCGATCACAGGGAACAATTTCCGTTCCGACGCGACAGAGATCTCATAAGCCTGTCGACACTCCTTGTAGACGTTGATCGAGCGTAACGCCGAGTCCTTACGGCCAACTTTCAACGCCGGTTTACAGATATTCCATCACCCTCGACAAAATAGAGGAAAGTCCTACGTGAACCGTATCTACCCTCACCTAAGCTCGCGATTTAACACGTTCACTGCCAAACCAAAACTTTTAAAGTACATAAATTAAAATTGATATCGGTGTTTATTTTCGTAACCTAGCTAAAATTCAGTCCTATTCAAATTTACTTTCTTTTACATTTCAACCTGACAACTAATTGTTTTAGTTATATAGTAAAAAATCCTGTCACTCATATATAGATAACGTGGCAGTCAATCTGTTAAGGCGAGGGAAACCAATGACAAAATTACAGAAAATTTAGTAAATGTAGGAAATGTAATACGCGTTACACTAACGACCATGACACCTACAATAGCGAATGTATTTCATTGAAATTTATTTACGAAGTAGAGCTCATGAATGCCTACAAAAAAGTATGGAACAACATTTCCGTAGAGCACAAAACAAGTTTATTAAAAATCAAAAATGAATTTTTAAGAAAAATTGACAGAGGTTAGGTGCAGGAGGCGAACAAAAAAAATTTCAAATTGTTCTAAAAAAATTATTTTCAGTTGGGAGGGTCCATTATAATCATTTTTGATGAATAAACATAACCCCGAAATTCTACGCACTTTCGAGAAAAAAATTCTTGACCGAAAATAGAATGTCTGACCATTAATGAAATTTCATGCCTAAACCCCTTAAACTTAATTAATGATTTTAATATTAAGAATATGTAGAAATTGTAGGAATATTGGAAAAATTGTTCCTTAACACCGTAAAGTTCGAATAGGTGTGAAATTTTTCGACAAAATTAAAAATTTCAAATCGTTTTAAAAAAATTATTTTTAGTTGCAGGGATCGATTACAATCATTTTTGGTCAATAGACGTACTGTCGAAATCCTACGCACTTTCGAGAAAAAAATTCCTTACTGAAAATACAATGTCCGACCATGTCTGACCAATGCCTGATTCCCCTGCATGAGTATCTTTAAAAAATTATAAATCCTAAACGGATTGGAGGATTTTAATGCAAACAACGCATATTTTTGAGAAGAATATGTAAAAATTCTAATAATGTTCAGAAAATTGATCTTTAACCTTATAAAGTGAGAAAACCCCCATAAAAGTGGTCAAATTTTCTAACGGCCATAACTCCTAGAATAGTGAATGTATTTCAATGGAATTTGTTTCTGCAAGTGCAACCGAAGCTACTATCCTATGGTTTAAGAACATTGCATAATTTCTTGTTTCATAACTTGCAGTGAAAAATTACACGTTCGCTGGTAAGTGCTATAGGACGAAGTCTCTTTTTATTTAGCATTTATACGAACGATTTGCCACGTGTTTATAATAACTAACAGGTGTATATGTCTGCCGAGTGCGAGGTAGTATACGACCTTGGTATATTTCCGCGTTGGTGCAACTTACATGGTTAGCA